ATCTGTTCTTTGGACTAGCTTCCACAGCTTTCTACAATAAGTAGCATTTCTTTCATATTTATTATTTAAAAAAAAAAAAAAAAAAAAAAAAAAACTATACAATGGCAAATGATGCAAAAGATATTATGTTTTCACTTTTTTTCCATTTTTGATAATGCATTATTTTTTGTTTAAAATTGAACATCGTATTTTCCAATTTTGTTCAATGTTTTGACCTTTTCATTTTTATTCAGTATCACAAACAAAAGACACTATGTTTTCACTTTTTTCGATTCTGACACTGCTTTTCTCATTTTTGTTCTAAAGACACTATGTTTTCTCTTTTTTCGATTGCTGTCTGATTTTTGTTCTAAAGACACTATGTTTTCTTTTTTTTTTCGATTTTGACATTGCATTATGTTTTGTTTTAAATCGAACTTCGCATTTTCTAATTTTGTTAAATGTTGACCTTTTTATTTTTGTTCAATAGCATAAAAGAGACTTTGTTTTCAATTTTTTCGATTTTGACACTGTTTTTCCGATTTTTGTTCTAAAGACACTATGTTTTCACTTTTTCCGATTTTGACACTGCATTATGTTTTGTTTTAAATAAACATCGCATTTTCCAATTTTGTTCAATGTTTTGACCTTTTAATTTTGACACTATGTTTTCATTTTCTTTCGATTGTAACACTGTTTTTCCGATTTTTGTTCTAAAGACACTGTCTTTTCACTTTTTCCAATTTTGACATCGCATTTTCCAACTCAGCATGGCAAACTGGGTGCCTAGAGAGGGTCCCGCTGAAATGGACAAAATTGGAAAATGTGATGTTCGATACGGAATAAAAAGTAATCCAATGTCAAAATCAAGAGAAAAAAGTGAAAATATAGTGTCTTTTATGTCATTTGTCCAAAATAAAATTCAAATCATCAAATTTGTTACCTCAAAAAGCTGTCTGGCAACACGGTAATTTTCCTGTTGTACCTCAAGCTGAGCCCATGCCTGCATTAGTAAAATTCATTTTAGTCTATAAAATACAATTAATTTCTGTTAATGAAGAGGACACAGAGATACTTTAAGAAATTTCAGATGATGTAAGAAAGAGAACTTACGAGCCAGCTGGCGCAGCTTTTGGGGTTACATTTAGTGGCCTGTCTGAACAAGTATCGAGCTTGGTCAAACCGGTTTGACTTGGCTTCAAGCATTGCAAGTGTTTGATAAATGTACTCATTTCCACCACAATTCTTGAGTCCTTTACTAAGAAGATATCTAGCTTTTTTCACATTTCCAACTTTTAATTCCAAAACTGCCCATCCATGCCATGCTGCAACGTGTTTTTTATCAGCTACTGTTGCAGCATCGAAAAGCTGTCTAGCTTTTCTTATGTTTCCCATTTTGTTTTCAAGAACAGCCCAACACTGGTTTTAGATAAGAACATGTATGTAAGAATTAGGATTGACAAGAATAGTCCCTAGAGTTTGCTTTAAATAGCAAAACTGACCTGCCAAATGTAGGCGTTTTCGCCTTGTGTTGCTTGACAACCTTTCTCGTAGACTGTTCTTGCTTCGCTTGATTTTGATTGCTTGCCTAATATCTTCCCTAGTGCCACATAAGACCTCCCATCTTCAGGCCAAATTGATATGCACTTCACACCATTGAATTTTGTATAAAAATATCTTAGGAACATCATATATACAAATACACGAGCTTCTCACAACAGAAATGGCAGCAGATCAAGAGCATTTACAATAGCATTTTATCTCATCATTAGTTGTATTTATGTGTACTCAATTTGGGAACACTACGGTTAATGATCTAAATGTCTTTCATTGGAGTTTGCCTGGATTTACAAATAAACGTATTTGAATTTAATACGATCATCAAAAACTTTGTAAGCATGCCAATTGTCAAGTCAAAATTCATCTAATGCACCGAAATTAGCTACTTGCATCAACAATGGATAAAATCGATTCTAACAGAATAATCGTCACTAGAATTGACTGAATTGTATACCTTTTGAAGAACTTCTTCAGCTTCCTTGTATCGAAAGTTCCTCGCCAACACTTTAGCTCTATACAACGCCAGATCTAAATTAACACCAAGCGGTTTGTCACCGGAGCTCGAAGAACCAACTCTCTTCGGCTCAAAAATCGGCATCTTCATCGCAAACTTAGATAAATTAGCATCAATCACAGACGACGTCGACGTGGAAGACGAACTTTTTTCTACTTCGATCTCACTTTCCACATCGTCATCTTCTCCATACTCACCATCTTCGGTAGACTCCATCACCGGCCTGCGAACGACAAGTAGCTCCTCCAATGTTCGTTTCTCTGTGCCTTCACTTCCAGTATCATCACATTCGACAGGAATTGCATCTTCGCGAAGTACCGGTGCCGGAGACGATGCGGCGGCGGAGGAAGAAGCGTCGAGAGCATGTACACACGGAAATTGGAGGTGAGAATGTGTAAATGAGGGTTTAATGAGGGTGGTGAAGTGTAACTTCGAGGTGGCTCCATTAGAAGGAGAAAACAGAGGAAAGTGTTGTTTTGAGGAAGATAGCTTCATTTCTCTCACACACCACAAACGTCTTGGCGGGGATTTGAGGTTGGTGAAGATTGAAACGACGATTTTGCCCTTCAATGTATTTCCAAAAGCATCGTTTGTTGGGGGTGTTTGGTAATTTTGTTACTACAGAGAGCCACTGGCTAGAGATACGCCACGTTGCTGAGGTAAAATAGGTGGATGAGATCTTAAATAATGGAACACTGATTTCTTGTACACGTGGAAGATTTGCATTGGTTGTAAAGTATCAGATAAGTTGATCAGGTAGGCTTTTTTATGACTGGGGGTTTAGGGAGTTTGACACATATACAATAATATTTGAGAAAATAGATGAAGCCCAAAATACTACAAAGTATTGTGTATTGACTAATAAAGAGCAATACTTAAATCCAAATTGCAATTCATGATGTAATTGTTTTCATTATATATTTTACAACTCTAACTATAGTTATAATACGGAAATAGATAAAACACATATATAAGGCCCATATACATAAGTAGAACTTGGGTTTTACTGACGCCCCTTGGCACTTGAGGCCATGGGCCTTCATATCGCCTATAGTTGGATCGGGTATGTTGTTTGATGTTATACGGTTATGATACCAAGTTGTTATAGTTATTGTTGGTAGTTTGATGTCATGCGGTTGATGTTATCTAATTGTAAAGTTAGGTTGTGGTTGTTTTTTGTGTTATGCATGTGGTTTATGATATTTTATTAATCATTACTATGTTATATGACATATTGATTATCATAATAGTTTCATGTAGTATCATTCCATATTATTGTGTTGTATAGATTGATCGATAAGGTAATGAGATCATTGTGCAACAAAAAAATAAGTAATACATACAGAAAAATTGTTTGGGATTAAATATTTTAATAGGTTTATGTTTTTTTTTTTTGTAAAAATGATTATGAGCTTATGTGGTACAAAAATATAGTTTAAAAAAAATGTTTAAATTAGCTTATGTTGTACCAAAAAGCAATAAGTGATAAATCGGTTTTAGAATTTAGCAATTTTTGCGTATATATGTAAAATAACAAAAACAATTGTCATGATTTGGTAAATTATTATGCATCTAGCTCGTCATGAAAAAAGAAAAAAGAGGTTACAATCCATATGATTTTTAGGGTTAAACGATGAGAAAACGGTCAATTGGTCTCCTAATATAATATTTTTTTTGAAACAAGTTATAAGTACTTTCAAATAAGTTTGAAAGAAACAAGATATCATGGACCCGGTTATTTAAATTAGTAAACATTGTTTTTTAGTTTAATCCATGAAAACACTTAAAATTATTTAGTATGATATCAAACCACAATAAACTGATAAATATCAATCATATACAAATTGTCATGAAGTGAACCAAAAAATTAGTTTATAAAGCTAGTTTTTTAAAAGCTACTTATCCAAAAGCATTTTGACGATCTTACGAAGCTTTTTTAAAAATACATTATACCAACGGCAAAAACTTATATTATTAGTTAAAAAAACCGTTTATTAGTGAATGTCTCTACACTTTTTTAGATGTCTTTGCACTTTTCCAATTCGTTCTTTATTTTTAAATTGTTTCCCCCTAAAATGATTTTACATAACCTAAACACATATGTACACTTATAGCAAAAAAACTACAAATTTACCCGTGTTCTTTACCTTATTTTTCCTTTTACGGATAGATCATAGATATGGCTTAGGGTTTGTTCGTTGTACGGGTCTGATAAGAGGTTGGGTCTGACTCGGTCAGATTCAGACTGTTTATATCTCATTTAGAAGTCTCGAACTCGGTTAGAAAATCAAAGAACTATTATTTATACATACTTTAATTAATATGTATTACAAGTTTGTCTTATAATAATAAATTATTTTTCTATATACTTTTTTATGTCATTTTATATTTTACATAGTTTATCGGTTAGTTTTTACCAAATGTTGTTTTTTCTCAAGTAGTTTATCAACTATCAACTAATTCTTTTACCAAGCTACTAACATTTTAGCTATTTGTTATTTTGTCAAACATAGCCTTAAAAAATTTTAATATGCTAAACTATATACTAAAACTTAAATAACAAAACCAACCAATTTTTGTATCTAATCGATATACTTTATTTAGCCTAAATTATATACTAAATTCAAATAACAAAACCAACCGATTTTTTTACCTAATCGATATACTTTATTTAGCCTAAACAATCCGCATCCCTATTTACCATCGATGAATTATACAAGGCAATACTTAATGTCCTTTTCACATAAAATATTTCGCCACTATGCACTAAAATTAAAATAATACATAATACTTAAATAAACAATTAACATTGTAAGAAAAAGAATCAAACCTTTTTGTCATTTTCCTTCGCTAACAGATTCTAAACACTAATCAAAGCATCTTTATTAACACTTAAACACACACCAAAAACTACAAACATAACCTCCATACCCAATACCAAAAAACCATGACAAATCCCCTCTTTTTTGCCTCACTCTCCATCCCGCTTATTGCGATTCCTCTTCTCTATTGGGTCTACACCTATCCCAAAAACAAATACAAGCAAACCAATCTTGTTCTCTATGTGCATGACTACCTCACCGGTGATGACAAGTCAGCAATGACAGTGGCCGGAAAAGACGGGCCCACCACTAGCATCATGCATTTCGGGACCCTTCTGGCACATGATGATCCAGTAACTGTAGGCCCTGATCCCAAGTCTGAAGAAGTTGGAAGGGCGCAAGGTATGTACATCAACAGTCAACTAGATGGGAAGGCACTGTATATGATCTTTTCTGTCATGTTCACCGATGGGGAGTATAAAGGAAGCACACTCGAGATTCAGGGAGCCGATCCTTTTGTGTTGAAAGAAAGAGAATTTTCAGTTGTTTCAGGAACAGGTTATTTTCGGTTTGTGAGGGGGTATGGGATCATGACTACAGAGTTTCTTGACATACAGAATTTGAGAGCTATTATCAAGCTTAATATAACGGTGAGGCATTTTTAAATGTTGCATTGTGGATTTAGATTTTAATTCCATATGGAAGTCTCACTCTCAACGCTTATTTATTGTTTTGGCTGGGCTGCGATTAAACTTGTGTTAACAAACGCCCATCAGTTGCAACTTTGTGGCTTGAAGCCTTTAAGGCTTTAACCATCACTTTAGTGGACTTTTGGCCCATTGTTTCGGGATTATCAACTATGTGTATTTCTATATCTAATAAACTTCGTCATCTTCTCCTCTATAAAACCATTGGCTAAATATGTATTTTAACAGAAATAATCGATTGTTAATCAGAGATTAAAATCCTTATGTATGTTTATGGTTTATATTTTTGTTCATACCGAAGCTTACTCCTCAGTTTTAAGGAAAACGTTCAACAACATTGTCTTTACAAATTACAAGGCACATTAACGTCGACAAATAAACTATCATTTTATCCAACATATTTGTTCTATTTGAGTAACCCAGGGACTTAATGACTTTATAGTTTTATATCAAACTTTAAAAGTGTATAGTTATTGTCTTAATAATTAGTAGGTTTCGAAAGGTATAAAACATTCTGTGATAATACAACTGTAAGAAAGCAAGCAACGCGTGACAAAATCTCAAGGATAGCACATATGATTTTAGGAGTCCACACCAGAAAAATTTCCCAAAACGTTTACATTGTGCTGCAAAAATTGAGGGGTTGCACTGGCCACCCCGGAAACCCCTTAAATTTGCCCATGCATACGTCTGAGGTAAACAAGTTGAATAAAGAACTTTGAAACATTGGAAATTGTTGATTTATTTTTGTTAATGTATAAATTGGAATTTGGTGACCCGAACGAATAATCCGACCCGAAATAAACTGCCGGTTGGAATTCAACTAAACAAGTTAAGCAACTTCATACACACGATAGATGATTTATGTAAAATACGTGGAATAAACTTTTGAAAAAATTTGCAAACGAAGAACTGTAAAACTGAATAGAGTATTTAGCGTTGTTTAATCAAAGTGACATACGTCCATAGACGAACGAGAGAGAAATGATTTTATTAACTTCTAAAAACAATTACAATTACTCACAAAATGGTATACCTCACTTGAACTCTTAAACAAAAATAATCTTTTTGCTGACAAACTGCTCCAAAGGATAAGTTTTTAACCTCATAATTATTGTTCTTAAATGTGTTCCCGTACACTAGCCACGAAATAATGATGGGAATATGTGCTTATTTATAGGAAAGTATGAGAATACCCTAATTCTGATGGGTAAGGCTCATCCATAATTAGGCTCTAAACGAAATCAACCAATCACATGACATCATGCAACTGCTTCTAGAATCTTCAACCTTGAGTGATGTGCATGGCCACCCGTCATTAACCTAAGAGCACGTTCTCAAGACACAACATCACCATCTCAACTCCAGCAACACATTCTCCAACCGCTTGAGCACATTCAACACATAGGCAATGGATTCACAAAGTGCCTAACCTTTTACCAAATTATTGACAACACTTTCTGAATCCTCGTAATGCTTTATGATGCATGGCAACGCTTTCTGATTCCTGCCAACATACAACATCGCACATGTTATTCTGTTTAGCTCTCTTTCTCGAAATCAATCTTCATCTACATTGTCTCCTCTATTGGACCCTCTTCCTTTGTCTTTGGTACTTAGGATATTACTAGAAGCTTCTTCGGAACTTCATGTGCGCATATCATCACCAATGATTAAAACGTGAATGTCAGCTTAGCGCTTTCTGCTGAACTGCTAACTGTTGTCAGTGTACCGGACCAACTAACGACAAAGATGATAATATTAGCAATGTCTGGATTTCATCCCTGAATCTAATGTTAACCGAAATCAACCTTGTGATGATTGAATTGAACTCATTAACATAATCAGTTACCTAGCCACCTTCACCAAAAGGCATTTGGCCTAGCGGTAAGAAGTGATCCTCTCAAACGAGAGGTCATGGGTTCAAGTCTCTTAAGAGGCATAGTTTGTCATTTAAAAAAATAAAACTAGCCACCTTCCTTCATCTTTAGATTCACCAACTACCGAATCAAGAAAACCTTATTCATTGCTGAAGGTTCTTCATACATATTAGACAATGTGTTTATCAATTTGTAGGCAGTCTTCATAATGACAAAATTGTAAGCTGGTTTTTTCTCTAGAATTCGGAATCGTGGTATTCGAATTTGTCGATCCTAACTTTTCCATCTTCAACCATAACTCTAATCTCACTTTGTTGGGATTCAACAAAACAAGTTAAGCAACTTCAAACAAACGATAAACATTTCTGTAAAATACGCGGAATAAACATCTGAAAAGTTTTGCAAAAGAAATTTTGTAAAACTGAACACAGTATTTTAGTCAAAATATAAGAATGATTAATTTTAGAAATATTTACATAATGAAATACTATTTAATAAAAAAAACATAATGAAATACTATTTAATAAAAAAAACATTATATGTAAAAAAACATAAAAACAATGTTGGTAAAAAAAAGTTTATTCCAATGATAATAACCAAGAGTAGGTATAATTAAAGAATTTTGTGTATACCGTTATTAAATATGGTTTTTGTATAGGCTAAACTCTAAATATTATATATGTGTTTCTTAAACTTTTAAATTATTAGATTTGCTCAAATCATTTTTTAATAGTTTAAATATTTTATAATCCTTTTCATATTTTTAAATCATTAAAATTGAAAAAATAGATGGACCATTTTTCCCTTATCTTCTAAATCCTAGGACTTCTTCACACGATCATTGGTTTTTATCCTCTCGTCGTCTTCTTGACGATCATCGGTGTTCATCTCACTTCGTCTTCCTTTTTTCCTTTCATTAGCTTCTTTCTTTCAATACGTGTATAAGCAACAAGTAATTATGTTGTCTTCCTTTTTGCCCTATCGATATCTTCCTTCTTGCTTTTGATTAATTTTAGTATGTGTTTGATAAATTTTATGTGTGCGGTTTTGATCTTTTGATTTTAATGTCTTAGATTCTTGATCTTAAACTCTTTTATGGTAGCCTTGAATATGATTTTCCACCAATCCCTTTTCATATATGCTCTTCGTTTTGGAAACAAAATCAAGCAGAACTTGCTGGAATTCATGTTTGAAAAGAAAAGATGACCGTATGTTCGCCAAAAATACTAAATTATAGGTCATAATGGTATTTTATAAACAAAATAAATTGTTACATATATAAAATAACACAAATAAAATAACTAGATATATAAAAATAAAAATATATTATTATCCTAAGGTGGACCGGTGGAGGAATAATGTACAACGCAAACACATGCTACAAGGGCTTTAAGCCTTTTAGCCCCATGGTCTCAACTCTCAAATTGATTTGAGACCCACCAAACCCTAGCATCAAACATCTTTTCCCTGCAGAGAAAAAGTTAGAAGAACCATGTCTGATGAAGTGGTTGTAAACGGTGCCGGCACCGACGTGGATGTTGAAATAGCAGCAAAGGAAGAAGATTCCGACGGAACTATGAACCTAACTGTTCAAAAATTGATGCAAAAGCTCGCGATTTTGGAGCAGGAAAAACAAGAACTTATCAACGATAAGGAATCGGCCACTGCAAAAATCAAGGAACTTGAGGATGAGATCAAGATGTCTGAATCCGATATGAGGGCATTGACTTCGATTGCTGGAAGGGCGGCTGAACTCGAGACTGAGGTGTCGAGGATGCAACATGATTTAATTTCGTCGATGTCGGATGCACAAGAATCTAATGCTGAGCTATCTGAATTGAAACGAGTCGTGGAAGAATTAAAGAAGAGCGAATCGGAGAAAGCAGAGAAACTTGATGTTATTGAGAACGAGAGGAACTTGCTGTTGGAACGTTTGAATAAAGAGGCCGAAAAGCTAAAGGAGGAGGAGAATCAAATTCGCGAACTCGAGAGGAAGATTGAGAGTCTTGAGACGAGGGAGAGTAGTCAGAAGAGTGAGAGGCTCATGGTTGAGGAAGAAGCTAAAGCGAAAATCAGCAAGAAAGATGATCAAATACAGAGTTTGAGTATGATGGTTGACGAGTTCCAATCTGTAATCGTCAAGAATCGCGCTGATATGGAGAAATCAGAAAAGGAGAAAGAGGAGTTGGAGTTTAGGAAGAATGATTTGGAAGCCCTGTTGAAGAATTCGGAGAGTAAGGTTAAGGAGATGGAGGACAGATTGGATCAATTACAAAAAGAATTGGAAGCGTATGAGAAGATTAACAGTGTTCTGAAGGAGAAAGTGGTAGAGGATACCAATGGCATAGAAGCTAAGAGAGGTATCGTCCTCAATGGTGATGAGAAGAAGCTCGATTGGCCCATCGTTGCTGTGGGAGCTGGTGCTATTGCTACAATAGCACTTGTGTACTTCCGTCATGCAAACAGGTGAGCCTGAGGTTTTCTTTGTGTTCTAATTAAAAATATGCTTTGAGTTTTATAGGTTTTTTGAGTTGATCGGCTTGAACCATATTCTAAAGGACATGTTTTATTTGTCCAATAATCGTAGTCTATGTTTTGTATTGGTATAATATTTTTCATTTTATCCTTTTATATCATGATTGTCGATTTTGGTGTGTTAATTAGAAAAAAAAGGTACTATTTGTCTAATTTTCTGTCCATTGGAATAGTTGCTCCTCCTATGGCCTCTTATTTCTTTTATGTTTTGTTTTGTTGTTGCGAGATCTTTACATACATTTTTTATGTATTGTGTTGGGATTTTGATTTTGCATGGTTGTGGTGTTTGTTTTTCTTGTTCTGGAAACTAATATAGGAACAGTGTCAGATTCTAGGATATCATGGTTGCTTATGTTTCTTTTTTTTTTTACCCTCTTTGAACTGTCTTCTACTGGAATGGGTATAAGACTAGTTCTTTGGTAGATGAAACGATGATGCTAAGTAGTCAATAAAGTAAAAGGGTAAACACCATCCATTGGTGGTCTCGCTATGTTGAGATAAATCACAATGCGTATTGTGTAAGGAGTGATGCCTCCTATATAT